AATGCTCATGGAATCTGCCATGAATTCATGGGCACTCCTTAAAATAAATTTTTTAGATGTTTTTGTTTCTTTTAAATATAAGGCCTGAGGATTTTATCACTTAGGCTGTCTTTTTTGGATTCATTTAAACTACCCAAAATACTATGCCAGGGGACTGTGGCATAATGGCCAATTAGACTATTTAGATGGGCCCCTAAGTAATCTAAACCAATTCCAGTTAAATATAGTCAGGACATCTGGGAATAACTAAATTGATCAATCTAGAGAAATTAAAGCCCATAAAACCATCTTCCTATATCCTCAGACTTCAGGGGCTATTTCTGTTACATTAAGCACAGAAGAAATTCATTGGAGAGATTTTCTTCCCAGGCAGAAAAGTCTGCATCACCACTCTCTAGAATCCTGTGCTTTTAATGACAGAAATAAATGGCAAAACACAGAAAGAAAAGTCAGGGACAAAACTTGCATAGCATCAGAGCTGACACAACAAACAGGCAGACTCCCAAATCACCTGCTTCCTGAGGGTCTAAGGCTGCATCTATGAATCTTCTTTATCAAGTACAATGGGCTTGACAGCCCCTTGCTCAATCACACAAGGGCAGGTAAACTCTCAACAAATAAAATAGAATAAATGATGAGCAATAGACAACAGTGGTATCATGCTTAGAAGCACTCTGCAAAGAGTAGCACTCTCCAAAATATTTCTCTGCCCTTATCTACAGCTTAATATCTTTTTCTTCTTTGAGGGTTCAATCCTGATTAGGCATCAAGCATTCTGGCCCTGATCCAGCAAAGCATTTATACATGGGCCTAACTAAGCATGTGAGTAACTGCACTAAAGTAAAAAAAACCCACAACCAAAAACACTATACCCAAGCTAATTAAGCTAAGCACTTGATTTTTTAAGTGGGATGTTATCTCTAGATATGAATCCTCAGCACCTTGCAAGATGGAGCCCTTAGTGTGCCGTGTTACTAGCCTGGCCCTTCAAATGCCACCAGACATAGAGCTATCTACTAGGGCTGTGTGAAATTTCACCGAGTGTTTCATTTCGAAGTTGTTTTCACGCGTTTTGAGCTCAAAACAGCAAAATCGAAACAAAACAAAAAGCATCGAAACAGCTTTGAAACGAAATGAGGGCACTCGAAGCATTTAGAAACTTTTGAAACGTTTCAAATTTCGAAGCAGCGCAGTAGTGGGAGGCAGGGGAGAGCCAGGGCTGCGCTCCGAGCAACTCCACAGCCCTATGTAGCTCAGCCCAGCGCAGAGTGCAGCCCTGGCTCTCCCTGCCTCCCAATGCCGGCCTGCACTCCATGGGGTTGGCAGAGCCTATCGGAGCACAATGCCGGCTCTGCCTGCCTCCTGACTGTACTACAAATCAGCTCCGCCAGCCCCCATGGAGCTCAGCCCGGCGATGAGAGGCAGAGCGTAGAGCCAACTCTGCCCGCCTCCCACCACCAGGTTGAGCTCCATGGGGCTGGAGGAGCTGATCGGAGCACAGCTGGGTGGCAAGAGACGGGCAGAGCTGGGGCTGTGCTCTGCCTCCCACCATCAGGCTGAGCTCCATGGAGCCCGACGCTGGGTGGGCACTGCACACAGCGCTGGTCCCAGGCAGCAGCAGCAGCAGCAGTCTCCTGTCATCTGGTGCAGATCTGGGGGCTCGCACACTTGGGAGGAGTCTGGCACAGCCCCGCAGCATTCCCAGGGGTGCGGGCCCCCGGATCTGCGCCCAGATGACAGGAGGTTGCCGCTTTTGCCTGGGGCCAGAGGCAGCATCTGTCTTCCCTGGTGCTGGGTGCAGGCTGTGCCCAGCGTAGGTCCCAGATGGCAGCAGCAGCTACCTGTCATCTGGCACAGATCCGGGGGCCCACACCCCGGGAGGAGTCCGGCACAGCCGGGAGGTGAAGGGCCCCAGGTCTCCATGCTGGATGACAGGAGGCTGCTGCTGCTGCTGGCAAATTTTGCTTTCAAGACTTTGAGGTGCAGTGTCCAAGAAACCTTTGTACCTATCACCTTGAAACCTGGCAGGCTTCAAGCCCTCAGAAGGGGCTACCATCCCTGCAATTTGCATCCAAATCAGGCAACAAATGACATTTTAGGCATTTTCATGATTCGCCATTATAGCCTACGCACGCAATGTCGAAACGAGTTGAAATGGCGAAACAGTTTTGACGAAACAAAACGGGACAGTGCTTTGAAATGAAACAACAAAACAAAACGCTGTCCCTTCAAAATGGCAAAACAGACATTGAAATGAAACAATGGTGTTTTGCACAGCCCTACGATCTACTATGGAATGCAATAGAATTATTCATAATGAGAAGTATTACAACTGAGGTAGAATCTGGGCCCCACAGAAGTCAAGAGAAAGGCTACCATTGTCTGCAACAGAGCTAGGATTTCACCCCATGTGTGTGCAGGATCAGCCCGAGGTTGTTCTATTTACAATGTACAACAGCTCTGACAGCCCTTTGGCTCCTTGAAGACATATGTCTTCTGAACATCTGTATATCATCAAGAGTTTTAGTTGCACCGGCACATTCTTTCTGTTTTAGTCAAGCAGAACAGCTCTGATCTCACCCTTAATTAAACAAGAGCTGGGGGAAAATCTGTACCTGTGTCATCTTCAGCTTGTTTTCCCAGGTGTTCATCCTGTCCTCAAAGGGTTTCTTGTATGGTGAAAAAGACATACTTTGAGTCATAACAATGTGATCATCAAGGAGCTGAGAAGCTTCATCAGGGCTCTTCAGAATAAAGGTGTCTGTGTTTTTATAAGGTAGCACATTAAACATAATGGAGACCCATTCATTTTCCATTTTATCCAGTGCCTGGGAAATGGGAACAAACAATTTAATTTCAGATCTTAATTGCATGAGGTTTCCCTTTACTAACATGTTTCCTAAATGCCTTCCTTCAAAAAAATTACTTCTTCTGAAAGTTTCCACACCAAAAACTAAAACCATCTATGTAATGCACAAAACATTTAGCTACAGTACAAGTTTTCTCCTCCTTCCCAAGTCGTCAGTACCGTAAAGGGACCACTCTAATGGGAGAAAGAGCAGTTTCATTCCTTGCCCAATGGCACAGAGATGGCCAGCACAGTGCCTATTAATAATTATGGCTTTTTACAATTGGGATATTGCCTACTGGGAATGAAAAACATTCATCTAAAGAGAACTTTAGGGTATAAACTCTGACACAGAAAGGAAAACGTCATTAGTGCCCTCCTCACATTCTCAATGGCGTACTCCTTGCCAGCAATCTCTGCTATTTTAGCAATGCTTTCAATATGGTCCAGCAGCTTCATCTCCAAGCAGCGAGCAAATGTCAGATTGGCCTTAGGCTTGATACTGATTTTGATCTCCTTTGAAAGCATCTCCCAGTGACGATTACGCATGCCAGGGTTGCGCAGGCCCTGAATCAGAGGGATATACGGTCTGAATTCCTCAATCCTGCCCCGGATTTCTACAGCCACATCCTGGCACGCTTTAGGGAGTAAAAAGAAAGGTGATAACATCAGTAATAGCAATGAGATGAGGGATGGAAGATGCTGCCCCAATAGGGCTAGATATTGAATGGCAACTGCACACGTAGGCACAAGACAAAAACTAATCAGCTGGAAAGGTAACACTGGAGCACCCAACCAAACATTAATGTGGGTGTTGTTAGTGGCTACAGTGTTACTCTGCCCTGTACAAAAGTGAAGCCTAACAGTGAAGGCCATAGCTACGTTTGCATAAGGGTCGTCTTTAAAACCATGCCTCCCAGCTTGTCTATTTCCTATCCACACCTTGCCTTTATATAGCCTACACCCCTCACAGTGAGGAAAAGAGCTTACAAGGGGCATGAGACTTGCTCTGAATCAGTATGCTGATGATATTTAGAGCTTAAACTTTAATTGCACTACATCGCTTAACTTTAATTTAACTTTAGTGGCTTTTAGTGATACTTGTTCTGGATGTATAACAACCTTATGCTCCCTATACATCATACATAGGCTGGCAGACTCAGGGTCATAGCAGATTTGCAATAGCAGGAGCATTGCAATGAAAAGATCAGATTCTACTATTCAAGCAGGTATTCTTATCATTTTTACTTATCATAATGATTCACACTCACTCATACATCTACTCACCACCTCCTCCATTGGGGCTGATTCACTGCATTGTTTAAAGAAAGAGCTCAGGTTAAAAAGGATGAATAAAAAATCTCCCACTGCAGAATATATTTCAGTCTAAACCATCTGGAAGATGGTATTAGAACTATCTCTGAAGATTAGCAGAGCTTTGAAAATCCTACAATAGGCTATGGGGAAGGTTACCTACATATGCAAATCTCTTTTTGTTTCTACTTGGGATATCTTAGAATCAGTTTCAAATAAATTTGCAGAGCTGTAAGTGACCATCCAAACTCACTTCATATTAGTGGCTAGAAAAAAATCCTTCTCTCTCACACACACACACACACACACACACACACACACACACACACACACACACACACACACCCCCACCCCTGAGGCTTGGAAATGTCTTTTTGTTTAGATTCAGATTAAAACCAAACACTTTTAAAATGTTTTGTGAAACCCTGCTTGGGAGAGAGAGGAAACTAGCTCAGAATAGCCAGTAGGCTGTGGCACAGGAGACTCAGACTTAAGTCCCTTCATTACCTGATTTGAAGAAGACACTTTAATCTGTGCTCTCCAAGTCCCAAGCCAGCGCCATACCACTGGCTTATAGAGCCAGTCTCTCACTTATGCAAAGTGGAACAACTGTAGCAGGAGAGGCTGACTCGATAGCTCAACATTTGTTTGAAATATGAGAATCAGGTAGAACAGTGACCTGAACTTATCTCCCACATCCCAGGCACCTGGATGTTCTGGGGCACTTCATCAACATGGTGACTGGAGAAATCCACCTGGCAGAAATGCCATCAAAACTGGGATGTTTCCAGGCATTACTATTTTCCAATGGAAAAAAGTTTTGTGAAAAATGTTTCTGGATGCAAGATTTCTCATAGCCCATGTATGCAGTAACTCAGGGCCTCACGCAGCCCACAAGGGGTAATAAACTGCAGTCCCTAGGCTCCTGCCCACTGCTTCCCCACTGTTCCAGCTGCAGAAGCAGCCAGAGTCTCTGACGTCCCTTCTCCTCCCCAACCATGGGTGAGGTAGTGCAGCACACAACAACACACAGTGCTGGGGCCCTGCAGGAGCCTGAGGCCCTGGGTTCCTGAGAGCCACAATGCACCAAAAGAGCCCACAGCCAGGGACCTTAGGGTGATGTGGAGTGCCTAGCTGCATAGGCGGCGGAAGGGGGGTGCTAACAGGGCTCAGCCCCACCAAACAGAGGGTAGCAGCAAGCATAGCCTTAGGGCAGCCTGGCCATGGGTTGCTGCAGCAGGGGGGGAGGGGCAGGCTCATTCAGATACCCTGCATTCACAGCCAGCACCACAACCGGGCCAGCTACATGCAGGCAGATAAGTTTCTTTTAATCTTCTTTCTTGATCACCCTGGGCTTGGGGAGGGGAGTGGGAGGGGGGAGGGCAGATTGAGACCCCCCCACAGTGCAGGAGAGTGGAGTAGGGGCAGGGCATACCATGAATGGGGCCCCAGCCAGGCCAGGTTGTGGGACCTTTGGAGACCGGTGGCTAGTCTAGGGGCATGGACAGGTGGCTCCCACCACTGCGTGCACTGTGGGAAGTGAAGGGGAGGGCAGAGGTAGAGTTCCACCCACCTCCCAGCTACCCCACACTACACCCCTGGACGAGCCGCTGGGCCTCTCGACCTGGCCCAGCAAGAGCCCCATTCACGGTGAATCAGGCCCCAGCCAGGCCAGGTCATGGGACAATCGGAGCCTGGTGGCTTCTCCAGAGGCGCAGCACCAGGCAGCCAAGGGGTAGGTGGGCACATGCCGCCCCCAATCTTTCCACGGAGCAAGGGCAAGCCACAGCTGTGAGTTGTGCTCTTCTTGCCTCCGCGCCTTGCCGCCACTCCTTTGAAAGTGGTGCAGTGCCATGTGTCTCGCTACCCAGCCCACTCAGCAGCCCAGCCCATTCCCCTCGCCCTGCAGACTTTCCCATGGGGGGAGGCACACACGCTCAGCCCCACCCAATTTTTTTTCCTTTCTCCACCTATGCTTAAGTGTGTATTACAGCAGGGAGGAGGGTGCCCAGGCACATGGTGCGGTAGGGACTGGGTAGGCACCTGGGCACATGGTGCAGAGTGGGGATATGCCCAAGCACAATGTGCAGCAGGGAAGGACATGTGGTGTCCAGCCCTGGAGTCCATAACTTCCCCCACTAGTGCAGCCTGTGGGGCATACAACCCCTGGCCACTGAGAAGTTAGACAGCCCTGCAATAACTGATAAATCACAGCCATGAGGTTTTCATAATTACCATTTTCATGTGTTTCAATGAGCATAAACATATTCCGTCCCAGACTTTGTAGCTACCTGGTACATCCTTGAACTGCTTCACACACTTGTGCATCGTCTTAAAGGATTCATTGACACTCTTTTCTAGCTGTTCAGCTTCAATTGCAGAGAGAGGGTCATTCATCCAGCTCTCAGACCAGCGTATCCAGTCTGATGCTGTAGTCCAGAGATCCCAATATGGCTGAAAGTCCTTAACCATCCTGGATAGTTTATCATACTTTACAAAGGGGAAAAAAAGCATTATTCAGAACTTGACATATGCTTCTCTGAACAATGGCTTGCTTGTTACCAAAACACACTGTCCCTGAAAAAGAGCTCAATCCTTCTTGGCATACCCAAGCAAGCAAGGGGGATGCATGTCTTTTAGGGCAATGTATTAGACTCTCTTCTACACCACTGGCCAGAGCAGAAGGATAAGGAAGCAGGACATGAATTCCAAGCTGCTAGCTCTGATGTGACTTGACACCAGGGGATGCAAGGAAGAATAGTCTTTGTACCTCTCAGGACACAATTTAGCTCTAACTAACTAGCTTTCATATAAAAAAAAGAACACAGAACAATGGAGACTTTCTGGGACAAATTCAGTCTTGACACACATATGGGGACAGCTCCATTTACATTTCAATCCAAGTTAAAATCAGAACTTAATTTATCTCCATTTCATTTAGTGATAACTTTTCCAAGGAAAAAGCATCAGGCATGCTGACCAAAACACAGGCATTCCAGTTGCACCTGCCAAAGCCCATAACAATGCATGCAAATGGTTAGCCCAGTGAGCAGTCACCCACTTTGCCTTTGCCAATGTTCATTTGCATAAGTAACATGAGATATTTCTGTGTGTGGATGCAATGGATCTATACGCACTTTAAGGACATACCTGCTGCATCCACAGTTGAAACTTGGGTCCTTAGAGTAGAGAGAAAAAAATATGCACTAAGCTATCAAAAGTTAACATATAAACGATGTTTACATACAATGATCCTGCCCAACAAGCATAAAGAAAACAAAGCAAATGTGACTGGGCACAACTCATGAATACCTAGAGCCACAGTTAGTGTTTATGATTAAACAAACTATTTCTTTAGACCTTCCTCTGCCATCCAAGAAATAATGCCCACAAGCTAGCAGAGAGCAGATTTAGACTGGACATTAGGAAGAACTTCTTCACAGTTAGAGTAGCCAAGGTCTGGAACGGGCTCCCAAGGGAGGTGGTGCTCTCCCCTACCCTGGGGGTCTTCAAGAGGAGGTTGGATATGCATCTAGCTGGGGTCATCTAGACCCAGCACTCTTCCCTGCCTATGCAGGGGGTCAGACTCAATGATCTATTGAGGTCCCTTCTGACCCTAACATCTATGAATCTATGAATCCAACCCCAAAAACCATTTTCCTGAAGGAATAATCATAAATCATCATCTTATGTGCAAATAATCAGTCATTCATGTCTGTATAGCTGTTCAATAACGCTCCTATAGCTGCTTCATAGGCTTTCCCATCTTTATGATCCAGGAAGCTCCTGATCCATGAGCATGGATAAGTGGAGCTCTACCAGAGAATAGGTATAAATACTCAATAAACCCAGCTAGCTTTCCAAGCTCTTCTACACCATGAAAGAGTGCTGGAAGCCATCATATTGAATCACAGAGTCTCTCTAGTCACCACAGGATGGATAAATGAGCCAACATGGTAGAGAAGTAAAGAAGTTATTTAATGTCACATCTGGAATGCTATTAGCTAGAAGGGAGTTATTTACACTGCAGTAGCATTTAAAGGACCTATTAAGAACCTAGGGCCCTGTTGTCTGCACAGGGCCTGATGCAATGGCAGATATGATGCGACACTTACATTAGTAACTGGCATCCCAAAAATCCTCTCCCTATTGTTGTAGAGCAGTGCCATCTCTTGAGACTCCTTCAACTGCTTCTTCACTCTTCTTGCTTCGTTTGCTATCTCATGAGCTCGGGTAATGTCCACATGAATTGAAAATCCAGCCACAAGTAGCTGACGGGGGGTGAAAAAAGCAAATACAATATTTGGACC